TACTGTAGAGATACACCATCAGAAAATAAAATGGTCTTGATAAAATTTATAGTTCTCATTGACTTTTAAAAAGTTATTATGACTTTGGTTAGTGTGAAAGTCAAAAATGATACTGAGTAGAGCAACTCCCTTCAAATATTCAAACATACAAAGTTTGGCATGGTTTTCCACCAAATGCTTATCACCCGAAATGTTGTGCTCTGTTGGGTCTCCCTGGCTGCCTGTGGTTCTTCACTGTCACTTTTCATCAGTGATAGCCTGCATCTATAGTCTCTTGGCCTCTTTCCTTTGATTATAACTGAGATCACCAAAAAGAATAAATAGCCTATTCCTAAAAGAGGGTACTTTGTGTAAGAAAGAAAAGAAGCCACATTTAGTAGATATTTGAAACTTTGATTTGAGTTCCTTTTGTAATGTGACTGTCTAAAAGGCTTACTTCCATATCTTCATTTGATAGTGTGCAAACTATTGGAATTGAATTAGGGAAGGAATATGTACTATTTAGTAAGTGTCAATCTTGTTGAGGTATCATTTCTAAATTAACCAATATTTGTATTTGCTTTGTCCTCCATGACATAACAACTGCACTGTTCAGTCTTGACCCCTGCAACATGAAAGTTACGTACAGTAAAGGGTTGTCTCCCCACGCAGAAATTCACCAGTAAAAGTATTTTGTAAGACCCAGAACTAATACTTAACGTGGCATACGTCTAGTAACCACAGTTTCAGATAAGTGAATTATAAAAGACTTGTTTAAAAACTATGTATGTAATATGAATGTGGTTAAAGATTACATACTTAGGGGCCAGCATTGTAACATAGCAGGTAAAGCTGTGGCCTGCAATACCAGCATCTCATGTGGGCGCTGGTTCAAGTCCTGGCTGCAATACTTCCCATTCAGCTCCCTGCTAATGTGCCTGGGAAAGCAGCAGAAAGTGGCCTGAGTGCTTGGACCTCTGCACCCACCATGAGGGACCCAGAAGAAGTTCCTGGCTCATGGCTTCGGCTGGTCCCAGCTCTAGCTGTTGCAGCCATCTGAGGAATGATCCAGTGAATCAAAAATGTCTCTTTCTCTCTGTCTCTCCCTTTCTGTCTCTGTAACTCTGCCTTTCAAATGAATAAAATAAATCTTAAAAAAAAAAAAAACACACACATACTTAGCCTAATGTATCCACTATATTTATTGTGTTCTCATGTTATAGAGGATTTTTTTTCTTTTTTAACTGTATAAGTAATATGTATATTGTTAATTGTAATAATTGATTATTATTAGAGGGTAGGGCAAGTGTGTAGGAATGAGTCACATCATCAGTATAAGAGTGTTTACATCAGAGTTGTTCTGCTCAGTCTGCTCAATGCTTAACTGGAATTACTGCGTCTGTTACTATGAAGTCCTTGTGGTCATCTTCATCCTCGCCCCACCCCTTCCTCAGCTCTGAGATTCCTCTGCTGTTTATGTTCTAGACTGTGGACTCTTAAGGCTTGAGCCTTTTGGAATTGTCACATCCATTCAGTGTCTAGTCAGTTGTCTGGTAATTAATAGCCTGAGAAGTATAAGTATTTATATTGGGTTTTTTAAAATGCTCTGTAAATGCTGTATACCTGTTTGCATTTGGTCAGATGATTGGAATGATACATGGTAATTTGGTTCTAAAACCCTTGAGAATATTCAGAATGCTCTTTATTTTGCCAGTGATAGACGGAATTAAATATTAACACTTATCTATCTTGTAGTTCATAGTTATTATTGTTGTTATTGTTCTAAAGGTCAGACTTGCTTTAAGGTAAGCCAAGACCATAATCCTTTCCAGTAGACTGACCGAAGAAAATGACAGTTGGGAAATGGAACTATAAGAGACTTTCTGGCTTTTCTATTAATTTCCCTTGGTTTAGCATCATGGAATTTGCAGAGGATAAAATGAACAAGTCAAATATAAAGAAAAGTTTAACTTTTCTGCCATCTAGAGGAAGTTGTCTCATAATTTTAGCCTTTATGTAGCTTTGATTAAACTAGAAACTGCTTTCAAAGATGTGGTTCTTTGTGCACACCTTTATGTACCTTCCTTAGAATTGCACATTCCCTAGTGAGTATTCAGTACCGGAAGTGTGACTAAAACACACTTATCTGCTGCAGAGTGAACTTGAATTCTATTAGAAGATGCCAATGGATTTATTTTCAGCTTGGCTGAAGTTGCTGCTAGTGAAATGCTTAGGATATTAAATAATCCAAATAAAAAAGAGGTGCCAGAATCTTATTTTTAAAAACATGATTAGGAATTTAAAAATAGCTCAATGAAGAGTGTTGGTTTAACAAAGTATGTATCAAAATGTGTTTTTTTAAGACTTATTTATTTGAAAGACAGAGGGACAGAGAGAGACAGACAGACAGACAGAGATCTTCCATCAGTAGGTTCATTCCCGCAAATCACTGCAACAGCTGGGACTAGGCCAGGCTGAAGCCAGGAGCCAGGAACTCCATCTGAGATTCCCACAGGGGCTCAGGTACTCGTGCCATCTTCTTCTTTGCTAGGGACATGAGCAAGGAGCTGGATTGGAAGTGGAGCAGGCAGAACTCCAACTGGCACTCAGATACAGGCTGCCACTATTGCAAGCAGCAGCTTAACCCGCTGCACCACAACACTGGCCCCATCAACATGCTGGCGTGGAAGGGTTTTAGCTCGGGGACCCAGCTGTAGTTCACTGAGTTGGCAAACATGAAGAAGCCCTTCTGGTGAAGGCTGTTTCATCAGGAGGTCAGGGTTCAGGGGAGAAGACCCGGCATGTAATTTTTTGAAATTTAGTAACATAACTTTAGGGCCTTCCTGGAGCAGTTCACAGTATCATAAACTTTCCTGGCCTAGTGATCACACTGACAGAATTTCTAGCAACGTTCTATATATGGTTTAGGATGCTTACTTCATATTTCTGAAGCATCAGTGTGCCTTTTCTTTTTCCCACGTTCTGAACACTCAGAATGTTAGAAAAGGCGGACGTTAAGAGTAAATTAGGTATTTTATAGAAAGATTTATCAAGATATTCTTAAAATATATCCCTTGTAAATTTAGTTAAATTTTATACTTGTGATGATTTTAAAATAACATCTGCTTTTATAACAACCAATTTATAAAGATATAGTTTAGGGGCTGGCGCTGTGGCACAGTGGGTTAAAGCCCTGGCCTGAAGCTCTGGCATCCCATATGGGCGCCGGTTCTAGTCGCAGCTGCTCCTCTTTCGATACAGCTCTCTGCTATGGCCTGGGATAGCAATAGAGGATGGCCCAGGTCCTTGGTTCCCTGTACCCACGTGGGAGACCCGGAAGAAGCTCTTGGCTCCTGGCTTCGGATCAGTGCAGCTCCGGCCATTGCGGCCATCTGGGGAGTGAACCAACGGATGGAAGATCTCTCTGACTCTACTCTGTCTGTAACTCTGTCTTTCAAATAAATAAAATAAATCTTTAAAAAAAGCATATAGTTTAATAGGATTTAGTACAGACAACAAAACAATGCTCTTCTAACAATATCATAAACTGTTATTGAATATTCAAAAGCCTAGAATTATCTATGTATTTCAAATGTGTTTTCTTGTTTTTTTCTCTGAAAAGCTCTATATCTATATATCCAAACCCTAATTAAAGATATTTTTAATTCAATGTTAAGCTCTAATATGGTTTACTTAGGCCACAATAAACATGTTTAAGCAGGCCTTATATTGTATTTAATATTTTCACAAATATATTGTAGCTTCTTTTTAGATAATCTGTTGAATAGTTTTGATAGTAATTACAAGTTAATAGAAAATGAAAATATTAAATAATTTTACAACTGGCAAACAGTACATTATGGCACAGTATCAGGAACTGTTGAACAAGAGAAGAAAAATTCCTAAAATATAATAACAAGGGATTTGAAAGTACTTGTTTTCTGAAAGGAACATAACTTTGTATGAAGTTGACTTGTTTATGGGAAGACAAGCATTATGTCATTCTCAGATGAATCCAGTATTTATATGTTGGAAATTTGAAGACACCAACCCATTCATACTTGGCTGTCCCGCTCTGCCTCCACAAACAGGCAGGGACTGGATATTACCCACATATTAAAATGCTTTCAAATTGTGTTTCTACCCTCATTTAAAATAATAAGTTCCAGACATATTATGAGCCATATTTTATAAAAATACTCATATTTTCTAACTTTTCTGCAGGAAGCAGTTGTGGGAGATATCAGATTAGAGGGTAATTTTGTGGAATAAAATCCTATTGAATTAAATGAAAAAATTTAAGTCAGTTATTTTTCAGATGTAACTTATTCCATATAAACTGTGTTCTGAAATTCCATGGAATAGCCTGTCTTATTATATGGATAAAACATAATAAATAAGTGCACATGAATTGAGATAAGATTAGGCAGAGCTCATAGAAATTATAGTTTTCTTAAAAAGGTTTTCCACCAACTGTCTTATGAAAGAGCCATTATTTAATTCCATGTTTTTGCTCACTCCTTTTGTGTTCTTCCTGCTTACTGCTAAAATGTTGTCTGTTCAGTACTCAAATCCATACTGCCACCTTCTGGTACGTTTCTGCATTTTATCTGTCAAATTCTTAATCCTCTCTTGGGTATTTCTTATCAAATTTACTGGGTTAATCTTCCTCCCGTGTACAAGCTTTATCTCTCTGTTTTCATTTGGTCCTTACTCCCTTAGTGGTCTATTTGGATATTTCCTCGTTGTACTTGAATAATAAGGAATTAACATGGCACCTGTGTATGATCAGATTCAAAATTTAAAACTCCATCTACCAAAAAGGAAATGAAAATTAGTTTATGTAGCTTTTGTTTCATGTCCATATTTCTGATGCCTTCTTTGCCAAATCAAGAGAATAAATATTTCTTAGCTTGAGGAATTGGAATGAAATATAATTTACCTAATTTTTTACATTTGATGTTCATCCTTTTTTTTAAACACAAGATTTCATGGTTTCTTTTGTCTCTTTATTTTTGCAGCTTTTGTCATTCCTTCAGGGTTTATTTACTTTTTACCATGAGGGATATGAACTCGCCCAGGAATTCGCACCATATAAGCAACAGCTGCAGTTCAACTTGCAGAATGTAAGACTATACCTGTTCTTACTGCCTCTCCTTAGTCACTCTGATGATCACAGGGCAACCAAGTTACAGACTTTGAAGTCTTTCAAAAATTTGTCTAAGTATGGTGAAACCTCAACAATTTAGAAAAGTCACTTTACTAATGTCTTAATTTTTTTCTAGTTGCTAGCTGAAAGTATAGTCAAAAAGGACTAGTTTTATGTTGGAAAAGTTCTACCAGCAAATTTAGAAAAATATTACCTAAGCATTAATAGCTGGAAGTTTGAAAACTTTTGCCTATATTCAGTATTTTTGTGAATTTATTGGGTGATGCAAGATGAATAAGTTCTGGTAATCTTACGTACAGCGTGGTGACTAGAATTATTATAATAATATTGTATGCTTGAAATTAGTTAAAAGTTTAGAATTTAATGTGTCTACCACACATACAAAAAAGGGTAGCTATATATGGTTAGGAATGTGTTAATTCACTTGATTATAATTATTTCACAGTGTACAAATATGTCAAAACGTCACATTGTATACCTTAAGTATATATGGTTTTATTGGCTTTATTTTTTTAAAGCTAAGGGGAAATACCAGTTGACTTTTCACGAATCTTATTTTTGAGAAGATCAAAATTATTATATTTATGAAATGAAAAGATTATACTTTAACACTCTAAGTTCCCATCTGTCTGTGAAATTATATGTAAAAATGTGGAACATTTACTATTTGCAAAAATAGTAAATATGAATGTGGTTTTGAAGCATTCAAGATAACTGCTTTAAACAAAAGTAAGATTTCTGAAAAGCTTGTTTCTGTCAGACTTTATTTCATAAAGGTTGTCTCATCGATCCCTTTAATATCTGGCTATATATTATTATATATAGAATATGTATATTCTGATTTTAAAATGCTGAGCAAGCCATTCATTAAAGAAAAAACTGTAATGAGCCTATGTTTGTATTACCAAATTGAATATATAAAAAACCCTAACTGTTGACATTTTTTTACTACTGAAACCTGACTGTCTAGTACTTGATAACTGGAATAATTTGGGAAGCCTTCTTTTTTTTTCCCATAAAATCTTGTTTTTCTCTGCTTATCTGATTTTTGCCATTGTCGAAATGTCCAGTAAATGAAACTATAGAGTTGGAGTATCTGAAGAGAAATATGCAATTGGGTTTATTCTCTTTGTTTTGAGTTTTTTTATTTAACTTAGATTTTCTATCAGAATTGATTTTACCTTTAGTTCCGTTCTATAGGTTTTTTTTTTTTTAATTTATTTATTTGAAAGGCAGAGTTACAGAGAGGCAGTGAGAGAGAGAAAGAGGGAGGGAGAGAGAAAGGTCCTCCATCTGCTGGTTCATTCCCCAAATGACCACAGTGACCGGAACCTAGCCTATCTGAAGCCAGGAGCTTCTTCTGGGTTCTCCCGTGCAGGTGCCAAGGCCCAAGCACTTGGGCCATCTTCCACTGTTTTCCCAGGCTGTGGCAGAGAGCTGAATCAGAAGTGAAGCAGCTGGGACTTGAACCAGTGCCCATATTGGATGCCAGCACTGCGCAGGTGGCAGCTTTATCCACTAAGTCACTGCGCCAGGCCCCCTCTGTGGTTTTTCAACCTGGAATGTATTTTAGTGTTTTCATTAAATATTAGAAGAAAAAATTACAAAAGTTAAAGTATTTTTATGATTTATTTCCATATGAAATTCATGTATGCTACAATTTTTGAGATTCAGGGATAGGGAAAGAATGAGGAATTAGACAAAAATTTGAATCCTTATGTTTGAAAGAGAAAAATAGCAAAAGTGACTACATTTTCATCACCTACTTTGAGATTTAGATCTTTTATTAGGGGCCATAATAAAACATCATGTGGATTAAAGGTGAAAGAGATTTTCATAGAGAAAAACTAGTGCTTTTCATAATTTAAGTAAAATTGTCATAAAGTGAGTAAACTCTTTCTTACAGTAGAAAAGGTTTGAATTTGAACCTATTGATCTTTAATTTATGCACCATCTTAATACCTTTTTAAGTATTTCTGGAAACCAAGCTATATTATGTGGTTTTCTTAAAGATTTATTTATTTTATTTGCAAGTCAGAGTTACACAGAGAGAGAAGAGGCAGAGAGAGACAGGTCTTCCATCTGCTGGTTCACTCCCCATTTGGCTGCAACAGCCAGAGCTGCAGCAATCCGAACCCAGGAGCCAGGAGCTTCTTCTGGGTCTCCCACGTGGATGCAGAGGCCCCAGAACTTGGGCCATCTTCCACTGCTATCCTAGGCCATGGCAGAGAGCTGGATCAGAAGTGGAGCAGCTGGCTCTTGAACCAGCACCCATAGGGGATACCAGCGCTTCAGGCCAGGGCATTCACCCACTGCACCACAGCACGGCCCCTATATTATGTTTTTTTTCAAAAAAGCCTTTGGAACATGAGTGGTGAACTTTTTCATCTGTTCAGTGCCAAATATATATCAAAAGTATGCAAATTTAATGTCTATCTCAAAAAATTAAGTATTTATGTGTCTACCTTTTTTTAACCTTGGATATTAGGAAATTCAAAACAAATTTTGTGTATTTTAATTGCTATGATTTATCCTGTAAGAATAATATTTAAATATGGAATTAGGAAGAAAATTGTGCATGCATATACTACACATACGTAAAGAGATGCAAATGAGAAACATGTGGTAGATCATTCAGGGAAGTTTTCACTAAAGCAATTCAAAACCAGACCATAAGACTCAACCTCACAGGGTAATCGGGGTGGTGAATAAATTTGCAGTTTTTAAACTTAGTCTGGCGATTCCTCACATCTGATAGGAAACAGTGAATGAAATTGTTGTTTCTGTTTACTTTAGACAAGGAATAATTTTGAAAGTACTCGACAAGAGGTAGAGAGGTTGATGCAGAGGATGAAATCTGCTAACCAGGACTACAGACCCCCCAGCCAGTGGACGATGGAAGGCTATCTATACGTCCAGGAGAAACGTGAGTCACTGGCACATAATTTCTTGTCCCTTATTACTTAACATTCTGTATCTGAGAGATGTGACTAGGTTATATCTCAAGTAAGCATAATGACATTTCTCTATAGCTTTATCATATTTAAAACAATGTGGTCTTCCAATGCTGTCATCAAAGTGAGGAAGTTCTCCCACATTTTACCATCAGGATTTCTAAGTTGGTATGCTGTTGAATTTGGAACATACAGTCTCCACTGATAATATATCAATATGAGTTGAGTTTTAGAATTTAATTGTGATACCTAATCTCAATTATAAAGCTTCATGGAAAATTGAAAATCAAAGCCTTTATCAGGATGAATCATCCTGGTGACTAGAATAATAGTTTCCCCCTCCAGCAGCATTATTTCATTTAACTCAGTGCTCTGTCAATTTTCAGGAGTAAAATTGGCAATTATGTAATATTACATCAATACTCTTTACTTCCTGAGGTTAGGAAATAAGTACCAGACCCAATAGAGCACTACTGTAATTGCCTCACACTAAGAAAGTTTTTCTCACAGAAATTAATAAAAAAGCCATTCAAACTTGTGTAAGTAGAGTCCTTTCTGCATGTTACTTGTCATTAAGTGGAACTAGTTTGACCATTTTGACTAAATTAGCTGTGTGCTTCAAATCAGATATGCCCTAGAGCACTGCTCTCATACTGTTTCTGGTGGAAGAACAGTTGTTGTTATTTCCATTCCATCATGGACCACTGTCTTTGTGAAATACAAAATCATGGATTTGGGTCTTACAGCACTGACTAATTGCTCCAAAAGTTTTAAAATGCTTAGTCTCACTTTCTGTACTTTTGCATATTAGGACTTAACAAATCACACGGAATAACACTGCTGTAAAATCTCCATGTCAGCAGACGATAGGATAATGAAGTTGTCTTGGTTGATAAAATAATTCAGTTAAAAGATTTAGGATTGGGAAACACAGTGGTACTGAAGTAACTGGGAAAACCTTTGACACATAAAGGACATGGTCATTAAAACACCAGCACAGCACATTTAATATTAGATTTGCCTGGGTGATGGCACATTTGTTGGAGAGCAGTACCCAACAAATAGTGATTTGTCCAACAGACTTGGAAAACATTTATTATAGCTTGAAAATTGATGACAAAAGGAGATCTGGGTTCCTGATTTTCTCTTTCATACTGGTCTACCTGAGCCAGTCTGCTCATTTCAGATTTTAAAATGATAAAACTTAATGGCTTTCCTAACTACTTTATAGTTAGCTTTCTTTGCCCTCATAAAAAATGATCAGTTCATTGGTTCGTATATAAGGTGTGTAGATTTTACTTGAGACTCTAAAGACACTTTTGAATACTAATTTTAAATAATTATTTCAGGTGAGAGAATCTCACTGTGATGGTGCATTGCAAGGAGCTCATACTTTGTATTAATAAAGAATTTGACCAAATTAAAGAATTTGTTGGCTGTGAGGGCTCTTGATAAATATGTAGGTGGTAGAGGAGGTGCCATCCTCATACCTTAAGGACTTTTTATTCATTGTGACCTGATAATGTTTTATTTCTTGAATTATTTTCTTTCTTTTCTTTTTTTTTTTTTTAAGATTTGTTTGTTTATTTGAAAGGCAGAGTTACAGAGAGGCAAAGGCAGTGAGAGAAAGAAAGGTCTTCCATCTGCTGGTTTACTCCCCAGATGGCTGCAATGGCTGGAGCTGTGCTAATCTGAAGCCAGGAGCCAGGAGCTCCCTCTGGGTCTCCCACACTGGTGGAGGGGCACAAGGACTTGAGCCATCTTCCACTGCTTTCCCAGACCACAGCAGAGAGCTGGAGAAGTGGAGCAGCCAGGACTAGAACTGGTGCTCATATGGGATTTTGGCACTGAAGATGACAGCTTCACCCACTATGCCACAGCCCGGCCCCTCTTGAATTATTTTCCAGGTGTTGTGCAGTTACTGGAATCCTGTGACTACACAGTATTTTATTTTAAACAGACTCGTTGCCTTCATCGCTCAAGATAATTTCCTTCTTGATTTTTTCTGTATCTTGTTTTGTTTTTATAACTTTATAGAGGCATAATTGGCATAAAACAAATTATACCTGTTTAAGACATACAATTTGACATTTTGTCATATGCCTGCAATTTTGTAGCTGTCACTATGATCCAACATTCTCGTTACCTTCACAAGGTCCCTATTTTCCCATTACACTGCCTCCCTCCTGCCTTTTTCACTCACCATCTTCCCTAGATCCCCTGGACAATAGGTTTAAAAAGAAAAATAAATGGATTTATGTGCTTTGGGAATTATTTTTATATGATGGAGAAATAGTCAAAACTCATTCCAACATGGAATCTTTGTGAAAACCATTCATTATAAGAAAATCCAACCAGTTCAATGAGATGTACTGATTGTTATCACATGCTGTCACTGAACAAGTGCAGTGGGGAACAAAAAATGAGATAAAAAATTTGAGTGCAGAGTTTTTATTCTGTAGTTGAAGGCATAAGAGGAATGCATACAGTTAGTTACCAGTGATCAGTAGTAAATATCAGAGCTGTAAGTTGAGTGATAAATGGAGATCGGTGTGCTAGGGTAGAAGCAGACCTTTCTAGTTCAACACAGAACTCCTCTCTATCTAGATTTGTGGGGTTTTTAATGTTACCCCCCGCCCCGGGCATGCATTAAGTCACATTCTAATAGAGTTTAAGTGTAAGGACATGTGTTCCAGAGTCAGAACTGAGTTGGAAGTGCTCATCTGTCACCCATTAACTGTGGGACTCTTAGAATGTTCTGAGTTCAGTCTCTTTATTTATAAAAGATTTGTACATATCCTAAAAGCAATGTAAGAATTAGTGATAATATATATATATAAGATGTGTCCATTTTCAGTAGTGCTGTTATATGTAATAATATGCTTACTGCCAGCCCTTACTGATCTGGACAACTTATAATTATCTCACTTAATTCATAAACCAACTCTTGTGGATATCATCCCTCTGTAATGAACAATTTCAATCATACATTCTGTTGAAGAAAGTGTTGCCATTTGCAGCTTATAGGCTCAGTTTTCTAAGATGTAAAATGTTCTTTATGTTGTCTTTGTCTTAAAAGGTTCTTAGAGAACATGGTTGCACTTAGTAGGTACTAAGTAGATGTTAACTTTCCACTCACTTCTAGAATATTCATCTCAGCAACCTCAGATGATTACTGGATAAATTAATTAAACTTTTTTATTTTGCAACTTTAGAGCTATAATAAATTTTTGTTTTCCAAGACACTTTAAAGGACTTTAAAATTGCTTGTCTAAGAACATCTGCCCTGGCATAGTGTCAGGCAGCTTTAAAGAAAGCAGCATGTGTGTGTGGCAAACTTCAAGATTAAACGCTCGGGCCTGCACTGTGGTGCAGCAGGTTAAAGCTCTGGCCTGCAGCACCAGCATCCCATATAGGTGCCAGTTCGAGTCCCTGCAGCTTCACTTCCATTCCAGCTCCTTGCTAGTGTGCCTGGGAAAGCAGTGTAGGATGGCCCAAGTGCTTGGGACCCTGCTCCCATGTGGGAGACCCAGAAGAAGCTCCTGGCTCCTGGCTCCAGATCGGCTCAGCTCTGGATCAGCTCAGCTCTGGCCATTATAGCCATTTGCAGAGAGAATCAGTGGATGGAAGATCTCTTTCTATATCTCTCTCTCTGAAACTGTGTCTTTCAAATAAATAAAATAAATCTTTTTAAAAAATGATTAACGTAGGAGGTTCTGAAACAAACATCTGAGATCTAAATTCTCAACAGAGCATCACAGCAGCTTTATTTAAAAATTATAGCTAATACTGCTACATAAATCACTGCCTCAGTAGTAAACTCACTGAGCATTTCCATCCAGCCACTTTCTGCTAATCGACTGTAAGCCTTTAAGTATTTTACATCACATGTAACAGAATTATCAACGGGTATTATTAAGTATTTTATGTGAAATGGTCCCCAATTGGAATTGAAGTTAATTGCACTAATCCTTTGTGATTACAAAGCATATGGCTGCACCCTGTAATTTTTAAATCTGGAGTGGCTTAAGTATCAAAGTTAGACTTGACACCAAGAACATTGTTAAGCAGAAAAAAAAATTCCAATGACTCATGAGACACTTTTCTCTAGAGGTACTTTTTTATATTTCAGGTTTTTTGCTTTTAAATAGATGATTCTAAAATCAAGCCAGCAATAACATTGTGCGTAGTTGTTGATAGGAAAGTCTGGGTGTTTGGCAGAATTGGTCCCTGGCTGAAGAAGCTACATAGAAAACAAATTGCATTTTCAACCTATTCAGTCCACTGTGGCATTTGGGTGCGGGATGCTTGCCTTTCTTGGGAGATAACTGAAACTCTCCTACCCTGGTCATGGAAAGCATGAACTAATAATGCATGCGACTCTGGTGAAACAGCTACATCCAGTCCTTTAAGGAGAAAACTGGATGTTAAGATGGTGTGCCACGAGGAAGACGTGCACAGGATTTCTGGGCACAGGGAAAGCAGACACTCACACGTACAAGTGTCTTTAACAGTGGAAGCTATTTAAGAAGTAATTTGATGTTGTTTTTTTTCAGATCAGTGGTGAGAGAATAGCTGCAAGCTCAGTAAAGTCTTAAAGCAAGATGAGGGTCTCATTCCCTCACTCATCTGCCAAGTATTTCCTGAGCAGCAAATACGTCTGTCACCGCTCCAGGAATTAAACATATTCTTGTCAGCTGAACATCACATTCTTTCTCTCAAAGCTTAACTACAAAGAGGAAAGCAAAGAAATACAGTAAAATCATATGTATCGGGATGAGAGTACTGTGTCAGAGGCATCCCTGAAAAGGCCACACTGTGAAAGTTATGTTTTTAAAAGACAGGAAGGAGGTAACAACAGTGCAGGTCATAAAGACATCTGAAGGAAAAGTAATCTAGGCTAAGGTCATCAGCCAGTGCAAATATCCTGAGGCAGAATTGCATTCACTGTGTGCTGGGACCAGCAAGGGAG